AAACTCATTTAAGTGCCTTTATACCTTCCTATGTTGAATCACATGTGATTCCAACACTTGGTCAAGGTGTTTCCTAGTCCCGGAAGGTGTTTTCTTTCATATAGTTGTTATAAACACTATATTCATGTCAATATGTGTCCTTAAATGTAATTTAGTACTTATTGTGTCTCGGGACTTCATTCCTGGAACTTCTCATCCTTACACGCATACCCGTTTGAATCACGCACATCAGGTGAGTTCATACCCCGTAATGAATCTTTTAACTATTTTAATTGTTTTAAGGGGGGGGGGGGGGAATACAAGTTGAACACAATGATAATTGTGTAATTATTTGTTGTTAATCATTCTTTCAAAATGTTACTTATGTTATTTATAAGTTATTAAAACATTTCAAAACTCTTCTAAAGGTTATGTTACTTTATAGTTATACAAAAACTCCATTTTTAAAGTATAAGCATAACTTTGTAGATAAATGAGTCTTTTCAGTATGAGTCCAGTTAGAACATTAGTAAACTACTATAGGTATAGTTTAGGAGAATGCTATTCATTACTTCTAGTACAATGAAGCACACACAGAACAGAACATAACAGAACAGAACAAACAAGTAAATTTGCTATAGCATGATAACACGCAGACAGGATCTAACTTTAATGTGAATTACACGGCTTGCATGGATTTGCTCGGGTCGCGTTGTAGTTCCCTCAATCTCCATAGATGAGAGCGGGTTAGTAGGGGTTCTAGATTTCACATTATGACCGTAATAAAACACACATATGCTTTTAGGTTGATAGTACCTCCGTATGTCATTATAAACGACATCAGGGTACTCACTGTCTCCCATTACTTTCATAAAGTGTCAGCAACACTTGAAGGTTGATCTATTCTCTAATCGAGGTAGGTTATAAACTAGGGAGAATGTACTTTTCAGTTTACAAAGTAACAGTAGAGTCTTGGTACAAGACTGCTTTCATAACAGTAGAGTCTTGGTAGAAGACTACCTTCATAACAATCGAGTCTTGGTATAAGGATACTTTTAAAGGTTAGGACCATAATGCTAATCTTATGATTCCTTAATATATACACTATAGGATACATATATGCTAATAGATTCCGAAAGCTAATAGGATGTGTGTTCTCCGCCTCATTGCCTGTTCTCGTTGGATTTGGGTCTTGAACTGAGTTCCCACAATCTATTATCTACCCGAACCTATATATATTTATGCTTAGTATACGTTAAGTCATCATAAGGGTACCAAGTATGCATTAGGTTATAACACAGAGTCAAAGCACAGTTTTTTCTAGTACATAACTTACTTATCAAAGTCAGTGTTTTTGATAGACAAAACTAGAGATTTCCCAGAAAGGGCTTAATCCATTTTATTAAGCAGTACAGTTTTAAAAGGACTTTAAGTGAGTTAACTCTATAACACCTTAGTTTATACACAATGTTTATATATAAGACTAATATCTGACAGCTAATAGGATGTGTGTTCTTCGCTGTACGTCCTGTTCCCGTTGGATGTGGGTTTACACCGAGGTCACCCAATCTACTATCTACCCGATATCAAATTATATATAGCAGTATAAACGAGGTTATTATAAAAATAATCACCATAGTCAATATTTTATTATAAGAAATATAGGTTTTCTTAAAAGGAACTCTCCATTAGATATAAAGGAACCATTACAAATAACTCCATGAGTAACAAGTGAATACACCATGGTTACATATGACAACGATCTAACAACCAATGGAATGTGTGCTATCCGCCTTACTCACTGTACCCCGTTGGGTTGTGAGTTGAGGGTAGATGCGCACAATCGATTGTTTGTTTACTCCAAGTATATATAACTTGTACCCACTTAGTACGCATAGAAAGGCTTGTAGTATCATTTTACTTAACTTCCATTAAAGTAGGAAATATAGGATTTTCTAGAGGAACAAACGATCATTTCAAAACATATCTTACAACTTACATTACTTTTACATATACTTTTTCCACATTTTACAGCTTACTCACATTACCAAAATCTTATGAACTCACCAGCTTAATTGCTGATCAACTCTTTCAAATAACTTGTATTCTCAGGAGACTATTAGACAGGTGCTCGTGCTGGGACTTCAGAAGACGGAGCATTATAGCTTCAAGTCTTGTTTTGTTATTTGTTTATGACTTCTATGTTTTGTGAACACATACATTGTAAGCACTTTCTTTCTAAATGAAATGGTTGTTTGTTACTTGCTTACCATACACATCTCGTGATACTTGACATGACGTCCTCCACCCCCGAACGTTTCCGCCGTTCCGGTTTTGGGGTGTGACAGATCGCCTAAGTTTGTGAAGGTAAACATACAGGTTGTTAAAGCTTTCTTCAGGCTGACTTATGAGAAACTCATTTTGAAGCAGTTTTATAAGAGATAATTATGAATTACTTGATTGAAGGTAAGGTTCTAAGAGTGCACGCACACACACACGCACACACACACACACACACACATATATATATATATATATATATATATATATATATATATATATACGAAAAAAACGAAAGATTGAGGTTGTAATTCGGAGTATGAACTCCAGAATAAGTACTCCGGAGCGAAGACCACAGCTCTAGAATGCTACGTTCCAGAGCAAGTGGTCATTTTACCAAAAAAAGTTGCTTATTTTTATTAAAATGATTGTTTATAAGGGTTATAAAAAAATAATAATAATAAGAAAATATTAAAAAAAAATATATATATATATATATATATATATATATATATATATAACCAATTTTAGTTTTGAGTAAAAAATGAAAAATAAATGAAAAGAAAGAAGTTGCAAAACCTAAAAACGAGTTTTGGACATGTGATGCAATTTTGTGCAAACTACAGGGACCAATTTTGAACTTTAAGCCCAATTTTAGGATTGATTTTGCAAAAAATAATGTAGTTAACCATGAAACCTGATAAATGGGTTAGAATGATAACTCTACATCTCATTTGTGGGTAGAGCCAACAAAAAAAATAATAAGACTTTACCCAATTACGTGTTAGAATGTTGTCGCTTTTATGGTATTTACCTTAAAAGATAATTGAATATTTAGTTTTCTTAAAGAGTACTTTTGAATAAGGAAAGTTTATATAAAAATTTTGGTCTTATACATAAGACTTTTAAGGCTTCTTTGCCATGTAGTATCAGGATATACGAGTAGGTTAATTATCTTTTAAGCTGATAGGAAATGCAACAGATTGGAAGATTCCATATGAAAGGTGTTTAAAATTACTTATGTTACTCCAAAAAACAATATCACATGTGATTTGGGCAAAATGTTGTTCCTTTTATTTGAAATCTATATGTTGTCCTTTCATAAATCAAAAAAGGTCCCACAAACCAAGGATGGACTAGTTTATATTCTAATCTCTAAGATTTCGAATACATTTTTCAATGATGATTTTTATAGAACATCTCATATGCATGGAATTAAATATCAAGTATCGCATATTGAATGTCACTATAATTTATTCAATGTAAATCAATGAATAAGAATTTAGAAGCACTAAATTTATTGAGAAGTAATTATACAATAGTATGTAACTCAATTAAAGAACCATTATATGTGATATGGTTATATTTTCATATACAACCGAAATCACATAAGAAGTTTAACAACTAAGCTTCTATAAGAGTTGCGGACCATGTCAAAACTCCGATGATAAGGAGGAACGAGCACCATGACAACCACCATCTATGCAACTAGAATGATCAGACTAAGCAGGAAAAAAATACCTTAGTGCAATCAGACTTAGGGCTTGTAAGTATGGAAGAAAATCACAATCAACCCAACATCCCTGACACTGTTATTGATAAGAAGGAGTAATACTCTAACTCACAAGCTCTAGGACAGGAGTAGATAGAGTAGGCTGATAGGAGGTGGAGCGGGGATGCAAAGAACCCTTAATTATCAAATTTGGATTTGTTAGGTAAGGTAGATGAGAAGTGTAGTCGTGACGTAGTTGTTGGCGCAATGAGCCTGAGAAGTCCAAATCATCGGCAAGGGGTGGGGAGTCTAAGGTGGTTGACGAGGTAAGGTAGGCCTGAGGTCACTAATGTTGCAATAAGGGTGAAGCACTCATGTGGAAACAAATTGATGTATAGGAATAGATAAGCATTTTTGTAAAATAAATAAATAAATAAATCCTTGTCTAGTTGGTTGTGATTTTGTGATGATAGGAATGAACACGCACTTAGAATAAAAAATTATAATATAATGGCTAATTTTATGACAGACACCATTATGAGTCATAAATTCTTCAAAATCTAGAAGAGTTGACATTTTTTTACGACATGAACAATCACTACTAGAAAAATAGCCTTTTACGACATGCAATTTATGATATGTGTTGATTTACGATACGCAAAAGTGTGTGACCTAAAAGTAATGTCATCTCTCTATAAATTTTAAGGATTTAGTACGCGCATTTTTGCGTGCCCTTAAATTAGTGTCTAAAAAAAACACGGAGGGCACATATAATAAAATGTGCGTCGTCTGAATATGTCGCTTTATAAATTTTAATGGAAATGCGCGTTCCATCCTTTAGTAGCTGGAGGGAAATGAAATCATAAAAAATTAAAAACCCCGCCTTCCTTTTTCATCCTTTCCCTCTTGCCCTAATTATCGGCGCTCCTAATTCCCCTCCCCACATTTCCTGCCGCCTACTTCTTCCCTCGAACTTTGACCATCGTTACTTGCCATTCCCGGTCGTTGACATCGATCAAGGCAAGCACGCCACCAATCGACAACCTTCACTCTCTCCTTCTCCTTTTCTCTGTAAACCCTAATCTGCCTCCACCACTACCGAATCTACCTCAATTCACCTCTGACCTCGGCTCATCTCTTACCGTCGGCGACCTCGGGCTCACGTCACCTCACCAGATACTGCAACGATTGCTCAAGTTTACAAGCCCTAGGTTAGATTAATATTAAAGTTGGGTATGATTTTAATGAGATGATGGATTTCCCTAGTCGCTTTTTTATGAAGAAGTTTCCCACATGCACACCAGATCTTCGAATTGTTGCAGAAGGGGATGAACCACGTGTGATTTACGCTAAAAAACTCAACTTTTGTAGGTTTCTGAAAGCGTAAGCGAACCAGGACAAGGGAAGCAATAAATCCAACACTCACTCTCAAATCGATTCTACTGGACAAGTTTTTAATTTGGGCTCTCTACATTCTCATCGATTCTACTTTTATTCAAGCATAAATTAGTTTTTTTGGTATCTAATAACCGAAGGGGTATTAACATCAGTCGGAGGCACCCCTTAAACATTCAAGATCTCGTAATTTTCTTTAATCTACATCTGAGTTGCAAAACGTATCTCAAGATCTGCAAAAAACTGGTCAGTTCCTTCTATCTAAATCTCTCAGTGTGCTTGAATATGGTGTCCATTAGTTATTTCAACATCTCAAAAAACTCTGATTCTTCTGTATTGATGATGGATTGCATATTGAAATCACCATTAAAAAAATAAATAGCATTATATATAAACAAGATTACTATCTAATTTATAAAAGATATGAAATTGTTGATCACATTCTCTCTTGTAGTTTGGTGGTGTAAATTGAAATTATGTTGATTTTGCAAGTATACAGCCACCTGCAGAAGCTTCTTGGGGGTGAATCATGAAGTGGGTTCTAGATTCTCATGGTCTCGTATTCATCAATCAGATCTTCCACCAGATGCTTCATCCATGAAGTTATCACGAAGAGTGGAATGCAATTCCAAGCTAGTTGTTGCTCTTTCAGTCAATGATGAGTGCTTTGTTCCTGTTCTTGACAAGAGAAGTGGAATCAACTTAATTCATAATGTTGTTTAGAATTGTGGGTAAGTTTAACATACCATGTTACTTTTTTTACCCATTAAGTTGATGTTTGAATTTGCTAATTCTTTGTACTTTTTTTGTAGATCAAACTTTAACAAGTTAATTGTGGCTTCTTTACATATATATTGGAGAGGGGTGATGAAATGATTTGTGTTGCATCCATCAGGTAGGCTTTTGCTGCTTTAATTAATTTTAATAAAATTTGTCAATTTCTTACCTTAATTTCAAATATTAATAAAATATGTTTAGGATCCATGGGACCCAGCTACCAGAGATGCCATTTATTGGGACCCGCCATATTTATAGACGCCAAAGGATGTGTCATAGGTTGTTATCTGCTATTGAATCAATAAGAAAAAGTAGAACCTTTTATTTGCTTTTGGTGCGTGTAAATTACTTGTAGACCCTTTTCTTTTCAGGTACTCTCATCGCTTGATATTGAGAAATTGATCATTCATGCCATTGCTGAACACATGCATACATGGATAGATGTTTTTGGTTTCAAGCCTCTTGAGGAAACACATAGACAAGAAATGAGGTCCATCAACATGTTGGTGTTTCCTGCAACAGATATGTTGCAGAAACCACTAATTCTAGAGAAAGGTTCATCATTACATAAGATAAGAATGGAATTGGAATTGGAAAGCAACATTCTGAAGCCTAACAAATCTGAATCAAGTTCTCCCGATGTTAAAGAGTCGAGACAAAGAATTTCTCCATCGGATTCCGGTTCTCAAGATGCTAGCGATGCGACTCTTTCCATCAGTTATGTTAAAGTTGACATCCTGTTTCTGGTTCCGGAAAGAAAAGCAAATGTTATTAGTGATTCCGATGTTTAGCTTGATGGTGATGATACAGTTATGCAGAATGGTGAAGAGAGTACTTAAAATTTTGCTATTTCTGTTGGCATTCTGGTAAGAAAAGGTGTGTATGGGGTGGTAATGAGACTACAAATGGAATTGCTGATGCCGATTCCAAGGGAGAAGGATTTGCTCCACAAAATGGGAATGTGACGCCTTCCACCAAAACAGGCGGTGCCTATTCCATTCCAGGTAACCCACGTGAACTCATGTAGATATTCACTAAATGAAGAGTTCAAGAATACCATGGCCTCAAGGTCCCGTAGAGGATACATGGAATCAAATCTAGCAAGCACTAAGAAGGTATATTTGATACTTTTCCCCTTCTTCCTAAAAAGTAGTTGTGGTTTGACTTTATGGTCAAACCTATTGAAATTTTGCATCAAAAATTGGAATGGTTCAACATTTGTTATCTTACCCATTTTGTTCAGGTTTGGGCTTCTAAATGGAATGAAAGGGCATATAAAAACAGGAATCATGATACATTATGCATTCGTATTTTGATTCAAGAACATATTAGAGCTGATTAAGCCTTTGTCACATACACAAATCATCCAGTGTCTCATTACTCCTCACAGATATACACAGAGATAAGTCTCATATTTATGGATGCTTTTGTTTAGGGCTATTTTCAATTATGAGAATGTGGATAGTATCTAATTCCCAATAATACCTCATCTTTTTCAGCATGAAACGATACGTTAACCTAATGTTTTTTTCTTCCAGGATGCAGCTTCTCGGGGAAGTGCTGGTGTAGGCTTTGATGTCGTGCAATATGGGTAATGTAATTGTAATCATTTCTTCATTTATTTTGGTTATTTTCTTTTTGGGTGTTAAGATCTTGTTAATTATTTTCAGTGATGTTTTTTTTTAAGATTAGCATCTACTCCAACAATGTTCAATAATAGTACACTCACAACAAATGAAGACTTTCTATGTCCAGTTGATGGAGTTATCATGATAACTTCAAGCCATCTTCCTTATAATAGAAATGCTTTTAAATTCTTTACTAATGAAGGAGGCCTTGGAAAACCTGACATTAAAGACATTCTGAAGCGTGCTGCAAACATATACAATGGATTTACACCAAAATCTCTAGAAGAGGCAGAAAGAAAAGTTTCATCTTCCATCACTAAAGTTTCATCTTCCGTCACCAAAATCTCTAGAAGAGGCAGAAAGAAAAGTTTCATCTTCCATCACTATTTGTTTTCCAGGGAAATTTGTTTTTCGAGGAAGATTTCAGTGTTACAAGCAAGATTCGGCCAGGGCTTTAGATTCAGGCGCAAGGTATATATCATTTAGCTATAAATTATAATCCACATTGAAAAGTTAACTACTTGCATGAATGCCTCTTATCTTTTGTTTGCTGATACTAATAATCATCTTTTTTTAGAATATTAGCTCCAACAGCATACATCTTCTTTGCCTCCACCCTTCCAGTCATTGCCTTCGGTGAGCAACTGAATAAAGTGACAAGTACAAATAGATACACTATGTGTAATTCACAAATCATTATGCTTATTTGGCTTATGTTTTGATGACAGATGATACGTTGATTGTAGTGGAAACTCTCACCTCTACTGCTATATGTGGAATTATCCATGCAATATTCAGTGGACAACCACATTTGATTTTAGGCATTGCTGAACCTACTATTATAATGTACAATTATCTCTATCGTTTTTCTAAAGAAAGACCTGAATTGGGGAGGCAGTTGTTTCTAGCTTAGGCTGGATAGTATAGAACCTTCTAGAAATGTCTCAAGTATAATTATCATGTGTAATCTTATTCTTTCCTATCAAGCATATATGATAATATACATATTCTTCTTAGCTTTAGGGTTTGTGTCTAGACTGCTGTGATGTTGTGTGTTCTTGCTATACCCAATGCTTGCACACTCATCACAAGATTCACAAGGGTTGCTGATGAACTTTTGGCATGTTGATTTCAGTGCTCCTTTTGTAAGAGGTTATTAAGGTATATTATGCAGATGCACTTCTTAATGGTTTAACTTTCCTTTTGAGAGATAATTCATTCAGTGTGATCTTATGTTGCTTGCAATTATTTTGGCATCTGGTACCCTGTGCCGCATTTACTTGATCTTATGGATCTTGATGGCGGTGACGATAATAATTCCATTGTCCCCGTTGATCAGCCTGCAGCATGGTAAGGCGTTGTTTCTTTTTTATTCTACTAAAGTACCAAAATACCCCTTTTATATATATATATATATATATATATATATATATATATAAGCTGATCTTAAGGATGCTTATCCAACTGTCATGGTAGATTTACAAGTATTTCCAACCTCCAAAATTACCTTTTTGGTTCTTCAAATCCAAATAATTAGTGGTATTGAGGTGTTTGTTAATGTTCTTGGACATAGAGTTGCAGTACCAAACACTTCGAAGTGAGTTTAGACTTGTCCCTTATACTCCTAATATGTTTTACTAGCTAAAAATCCCATTATGATTCTGTAGTTATATTTTCACCTTAGTGGGACAATTCATTGATTATGGTCCTTTTTATTCCCCATGGGCCCTTTTTATTTTCTTATTTTCATTAATTGTTTTTTGAGAAAAATTTATTTATTTATTTTTTTTGCAGTTTCTCTTAGCTAAATTTAAATGGGATAAAGCTAAACAAGAATTTTATTAAATTGTAAATGTGGTGAAAGGGTAGTTCTAAATATTTGCATCTGGTTTCAGGGGTTACTCAAGGAAAATGCAAATGGTAGTAAATACTGGGCATATGGAGGTGACTTTGGAGATACACCAAATGACTTAAATTTCTGCTTAAATGGTCTCATATGGCCTGATCGGACTCCTCATCCTGCTCTAAATGGTGATTACTATATTTTTTTTGCTTAGTAGTTAGGTTTTTGTTTAGTTATTTCCAACAAAAATGTTTCCATGATGAATCTTTTGGTAGAGACAGTGTATAAGAATTACTTCATTGAGCTAATTATGATGCGATCCTTTGTTTATTTGTTTTCAGAGGTCAAGTATTGCTATCATCTCACATTTGAGTTTATAGGAATCAACAATCACTATGAAACTTCTAGTGTTTAGATTTCTTACTGGTTGTGAACATTTGTATCTTCCCTTTCTACCCTTCACTTGCAGGTTGATGATTTGTCAAGAATGTTCAGACTATTTTCCAAAAATACCCCATGGATTAGATCCTGTCTCTAGTATGTTTAAATAGGTTTGTGATTTAGGAGTTGGATTATATATATTTTTTAAAGTAGAATGCAGTTATTTGTATTTGTTGTCATTTGTTTTTATCTTTTTCACACAATGCAGCATGTTGCTGCTGAAGGCACAACCTTGGTCAAATAGACAGAAGATGCTGCAAGTAATAGGAAGGTAGAAAAGAGATTGCAGGTTGATCCTGCTACATAGCCAATAATGATCTTTAGGGTATGCTAGAAGGATTGGAGATTGCAGTTAAGCTTCTATCTAAGACTTCACGCCAAGGACTTGATGAATTTAAGATATCATATTTTAACATGGCTAGAAGCTTTAGAGGAAACGAGACTCAAGCAAAAGTAAACACACAGAGAGTTGTTGGCACATTATAAGCTAGATAATGCAAGTGTATATAAATGAGTTCATTTTTTTATAACATTTACTCACTATTGGAATAATTATTTGTATTTGACATATTAGTGAAATGAATTATATTTGTTATTTATGGTATTTTATTTTGTATTATGAGATTTTTAATGTATTATTTAATTTGAAAATTAGTAAATCTATAAATAATATTTTTTAAAAACATTTAAAATTATGATACGCAAAAATGTGTGTCATCTTCATTTATGACATGACCTTTCTTGATAGGGGCTTTCTTGATACGCATTGCATGTCATTAACACGCGCGTCATAAGGTTACGACATGCGAATGTATGTTGTCTTCCTTTATGTCAGGACCTTCCTTGATACGCATTGTGTGTCGTAAACGCGCGTCGTAAATGCGCGTCGTCTCTCTTTATGACAGGGCATTCCTTGACGCGCATTTGCGCGTCGTCTGAGCCTTTTACAACGCGCAATGAGCGTCGTAAAAGGTTGTTTTTCTAGTAGTGAGTTACGAGTCCAAAAGACAGTGTATGTCATTATTTGTGTGTCATCAAAGGCCTATAGGCTAGTAATGATGTCATCCTACACATTTATATATTTTCAACTAGAAAATAAGTAGCTAGAAGTGTCATTCAAGAAGAAAATTTTTGTTCTTTGTGTGCTTCTAGAAAAGCTCTTAGAGAAGCAGTTTCAAAATCAAGGGAAGCAGAACATGTAAAAGTATAACTTGAAATTAAGGTTGAGTTTGAAGTAAGGTGGGCTTATAGCATCTGAATTCTCATGAGGTCTGTAACGTCCCAAAAATAAGACCCGCAATTTTTTATTTTTAAATTACTAAAATAATAAATCATATCATTTTCAAAAAACCAAGGTAATCAAAGTTTTATCAATACATCATCGTTATCAGAGTAAATCACAAAATCCGGAAACATGTGGTGTGTGCACTGCAATCATCCCAAGCTCTTCCTTTTGAAAACAGAAGTATCTGAAACATAAACTGAAAATCATAAGCACAAAGCTTGGTGAGTTCCATAAAGTACCACATACCATACATACACAAATAAACACATAATAGGCCTCGGCCGACATCGTCCCCGCTCGATACATATCTGTAAGTCATTGGTCCCCGCCCAGTAAACATATAATCATATAACCATACAAGCCCATGCGAAAATCACATAGATAATAACGTACCATAAAAGCATCAGTCCCCGCCCACTGAGTATAATGGGCTCCGCCCAAACTCGCATAACCAGATACTAGCATACAGAATAATCATCGGGCCCTGCCCAGTAAGCATACAAGCACATACACATGCATGAGTCACGCAGACTTCGAACAAACTATGTGTAACACCGTAAATTTTAAAACCAAAATTTTCATTTGCAAACATAATAAAACACATGCCATATTTCCTCAAAAATCTCAAGTATCAAATATCAATACATATTTTAAAATTGTTTATCACGAATCCAGGATCCACCAAAAATATAACTCTAACTCATGTGTGTGTACAATCAAGTTGGTGCCTTCCCGTGATCCTCAGAAGTACCTGAAACATATAACACATAACACGCTAAGCACGAAGCTTAGTGAGTTCCTCAAAATACCACACATAGCTCATTAGCCACTCGAGGCTATAACTCAGTAAGACCCTCAGGTCACTGTGTCTCAGTGAGACGCTCTGGTCTTACAACTCGGTATGGTCCCTCCGATCCTGTCTCGATGGGAACTCTCCGGTCCTACAAATCGGGTTGGACCCTCCCGTCCGATCTCAATAAACACAAAATATAACTTATATATCACACAGGCAAAAAGCATAATATTACATAACTCAGTAAGCACATAAGACCCTCCGGTCACACAAATATTACCACTCTAGGTAAAGTATAGTGAGAAGACTCACCTCGTAAGCTAGCAAGTAAAAGTCTCATACTCGGAAATCTCGAACTAGCCTCCGCCAAACACATAGGATAATTATTTCTAATTAATACTCTACTCATACTCAAATACACCAAAGGTTGTACTCTCTTTCTCTCTAACTCTTGGAATGGGTAAAAGGCCATTTTACCCCTCCATGGTCTCCATTACTCTTGTTGACCAAACCCTAAAGTCAACAGAAGTCACGCTCGAGTCAGCAGTCAAAGTTTGACCAGACTCGCCGAGTGCACTCATGTGACTCGTCGAGTCCACTCCTTCCTCAGAAGTTTTGAGAAGGTCCAACTCATCGATTTAACCCCTAACTCGCCGAGCTATCACATGGCCCAGCTCATCAGGACAAACCCTAACCGACTCGTCGAGTCGGCTCATCAAATCAGCGAGTCCATTCAGACTCATTTCATATTCAAACGATTTCAAGGCAGAAAACACTCCCACACTCTATATCTAAACTCTCAAGGCTCATTTATCACGTAAAGCCATGAGCTTTACGTTCATGCATGGCACTTAGGGCTTGAAATGCCACAAACATGCCCTATTAAGGGGTTTTCACTCGAATGCTCTATTATGGCTGAATAAAGCCGTGACCTTTGGACTCTAGGGACCTCACAAGGTCCAGATATGATTTCCAAATCTCTATATGTACTTAACACACTCAAAGTCCCAATATTAGATAGAAAAAGCCCTAAACTCCAATAATATAAGATCTACTCAACAAAATGAGAAAGGTATGAACTTTTCACCTTTCACAGAAGCTCTTGGATGAATTGCAACATATCTAGCAGCCTCTTTTAGTTCCTTGCTTAAAATCCTTTTCTTCTCTTCGAAAGATGCACCAAAATACTCAATATTAGCTCGACAATCTCTCTATTATCTTAAAGGGCGATTAGGGTTTCCCTCAGTGAAGGTAAGCAGCAGGTGTGAGAACCCAAATTTTTTTAAAATTTTTTGCCTCGTAAAGCTCAGTCAGTCAACACAACTGAGTGCCAGATTCATTTCTGCCATCATTTAACCTTGTTTAGAGTCCGTTTGAAGGTTTAAAGCTCCGTACATTCAAGCATTGAGCATAGGAATGGATAGCATACACTTCTAGCACCAAATTGAGCCTTACACTCCAACATAAGGAGTGTACGGCTGCACACATGGGTGTGCAACCACACACCCCTCTCCTGGCCGCACACTCATGCGTATAAGTATAGAACTCAGCCTTCTCCCATTTTTACCCTCTCAAGTCTAGAACTCAATTTCTCTCTCAACAAGCATTCGATTTTCAGCATAGATCTTCAAGAATGTAAGTGTTCTTCCCTTGATTTGTTGTTAATCTTATTAATCTAGTTACATCCTTTGATTTCATCCCTTTGAAATCATGTTTTGGCTAGATCTTCAAATCTTCATCTATTTCACCAAGAACACCAAGAACACACACTTATACTTGGTGATTTCGAGCCTTTGTGAGCCTCCAGATCGTAAGTACTCTTTCCCTTTTCTTGAATCTTGTTTAGAACACTTGATTTAGTCTTAGAAAATTCCCAAAACTCATAATCATATGGTGTGTGCGGCTGCACACACAGGTGTGGCCGTACACTCCTCAAAACACCATCAAAACACCTCTAAAGGCTTCGATATTGTAAGTACCATTCCCTAAGCTTGTTACTTACTAGATATGAACCTTAGAAAACGTCCAAACCATGTTTATCAGGGAGTGTGCAGCCGCACACACTTTATGTGGCCGTACACCCCTTTGTTTAGTGCTTAAGGGCCTCTAAAGTGTCTTTCTAGCTTCACCACTTGTTAAACAATCGTCCTACAAGCCTCCCTACCTTTGGAAAACAATTTTGTGCACTCATTACCATGAGTGTGCAGCTGTACACTCCTCAAAGTGGCCGTACACTCCCTTTTAGTGAATCACATGTGATTACAACACTTGGTCAAAGTGTTTCCTAGTCCCGTGAGGTGTTTCCTTGCATTTGGTTGCTTCTAAACACTATATTTATGTCAATATATTCCGTTATATATCATCTAGGACTCGTTAAGTCTCGGGACTTCATTCGTGGAACTTCTCATCCTTACACGCACATTCGTTTGAATCACCTACATAAGGTGAGTTCATACCCTGTAATGAATCTTTTAACTGTTTTAAATGTTTTAAGGGGGGGGGGGGGATACAAGTTGAACACAATGATAATTGTGTAAATGTTTGTTATAAACATCTTTCAAAAGATTGCTTATGTCTTTTATAAGTGATCAAAACATTTCGAAAACTCTTTTAAAGTTATGTTACTTTATAGTTTAACAAAACTCCATTTTTAAAGTACAATAATAACTTATTTGATAAAAGGAGTCTTTTCTTCAAATCAGTATCAGTTGAAGTAAACATGTTAGTAAACTATAATGGGTATAGTTTAGGGGTTGAATTCAGGCTATAACAAGTACAGAGATAAACATGCGATAACAAGTACAAAGAGGAACATACTATAAAAAGTACCGGGAAAAACACATTAATATATCTTTCCCGGTTTGCGTTGACACCAATACGCTTTCACGTACCAGAG